AAAATTCATTTTACTTACTGAATCAAAAGTTATTATACATATTTTTGGGGTTCAACATTGAAATATGTTGCTCAAATCAATATTACTAGCATATATATTGTTACAAATCATAATTATTCTTTATGCCCTTTGTCCAATCCCTCCCCATCCCCCTCTCCCTCCCCCTCCCTCCCTCTAATTACCCTAGATTTCTTCTCTCCTTCTGAAAGGATAATGGTTACTCTGTTGATTTGTTGCCTAGATGATCTGTCCAATGCTGAGAGGTGTGTTCAGGTCCCCCAATATTATCATAGAGCAGCTGCTGCTTCTGTCACTCTGAAATGGGCTTTGTGGACAGAGGTATCCTCTTCTTTTATCTCTGCTGGTGACTCTCCTTGTGTCAATGCGCTTCAGTGGCTGGTGGACCATCTGCGTGGTGGTTGTGGCGTATTCATGGCAGCCGTGGTTACTGTGGTGGCTGTGGTGGGCCACCCACGTGGAGGTGATGTTTTGGGCATGCTCCTTGGTGCTGGCAGTGTGCCTGGTTGTGCGGGGGGGGGGGGTCCAGTCCCCGACTCCATGCCTCAGGTCCCTGGGCGGCCCCACTCCCACTCGTTTTTTTAACAATAACTTTAATGAGAAGTATTAAATTTTGATTAAGTTCAATTTATAATTTTTATTTGATGGTTAGTGCTTTCTTTTTGTATCTTCTCTAAGAAATGTTTGCTTAATCCAAAGTGACAACCTGTCCTTTCTTCTAGAGGTGTTTTGGTTTTTGCTTTTATGAGTCTTTGAGGCACCTAAGATTGACTTTTGTCTGTTTTAGGAGGCAGAGGTGGAGGTCATTTTTCTCCCCTTGTTCCAGAATCTGTTGTTTCCTGTCTCCACTGAAATGCAAAAATAAGGAGTATGCTTCCCAGAAGAACATGGGCACTATCAGGGAAATGCAAGTTCAAACCACAATGAGGTGCCTCTGTACTCACTCAAATGGCAAAAATAAAAATGCTGCGACCGTATCTGGTGAGGATGCGGAGCAACGGGGATTCTCACACACTGCTGGCAGGAAAGCAAAATGGAGCAGAATGGACCGTGGAGAACAGTTCTGTGGTTTCTAATAAACTTAGGCACGTAATTACCATGTGAACTGGTAATTCCTCTCCTCAGATAAAAACATGTCCACGAAAAGATTTGCATGTGGATATTCATAGCAGCTTTATTGATAAAAGCTCCAAACTGGAAACAGCTCAAATGTCCATCAGCAGGAGGAGGGATAAACGCACAGAGGCCCCTCCATGTGGCAGAGGACTGCGCAGCAGCCCAAAGGAACAGAGAACAGATGTGTGTGTGACCGTAAAAAAAATTAGAAGAGACATCTCCAAGTATCTTCAGTTTATTCAGGAATAGAAAATAGGATTGTAATCTGGAATGCAAGCCCCTGGGAGCATTTGAACCGCCTCTTCTCTGGCCCCACCCCAGACCCACTGAGCCACAAGCTCCTGGACAAGCCTCCGGAGGTTCCGGTGCTCGCCACCATTGACAACGCCGCGCCACGTCTATATGGGATAGTGGGTACTCAGTGTACACATTTGCCAAAACTCTTTCAACCGTGCATTTTGATGCACGTAAATTTTACCTATAAAAAGAAGGAAAAAACTCAGCAAGTCAGAAACTCCACTTGCTTAGTGCTCACTCACCGTTGGTCCTGAGCGTAGGTGGACGATGTCACAGGGACAGAGAGACGTCTGCAGGATTAGGGGCAAATCTATGTGGGCAGGCACAGGGCCCCACAAGGGCCAGGCAGGCAGCTCAGTCCCCTTTTATGCATTTTCCCTGCGTGACCCAAGGTGTGCCACAAAGGCCCCTGGGAGGGGAGGGGAGAGATATGAGACTCGAGGAGGGCGTTGGCTTGTTTGGAGGCCCGAGGGACACCCCCACCTTGTGTGCAGCACGAGGCCGCCTACCCCCGGGTCCCTGACTCTGTCTCCACACAGCTTCTCTTTTCCCACCCCTCCTGTCACCTCAATGTCCTGCAGGGTCCTCAGCGTGTTTTAGGTCTGTGTGGGGTGAGGAAGCCGGCAGGTGTGTGTGTGTCCCGTGCGGTCCCACCTGCAGAAGTGAGGAAGGAAGGGAGGGGATCCTCCTGGGCAGCGGCTGCAGGGGCCGGGTTCTCGGTCACTCTTAGAGACTTGCCTGACTGGGAGAGGGGGGTGCCCACTGACTTTGCACCTGAACTTCCTGTTGACTTGGGGAGCTGTCCCGTTGTTCCTTTTTTTTTTTTTTTTTCCTTTTTGTCTTTTTTCGTGACCGGCA